CTGATGGCAGACGGACATGCAAGGGCTGGAGTGGAGAAGAAAAGCCAAATGGGAATCTGCACAAAAAAGTACTAAGAAACTGCAAAGCTCAGCAGGATAGAGAGAGAGCAATGATTTGTGTGGCAAGCATAGCCTTGCTGTGTCTATGGATGTCGTCTGCTTTCTCATAGTTGGTAGTTATTGCTGTTCTGTTACCTTTATGGGTTCATTTTTCATGCCTTATTTCAAACAGCATCTGACTCATATTAAGACCACCCTAATGCAAGGCACTTTAGCAGCTGACTACCATTTTATTGCAGCATCTGCACATTTTTCTTTGAAATGTTCTTCCTTGGTGATATAGTCAAGAGGCTGATAGCCAAAATGTGTTCAAGGATGGATGGTTTACTTTAGTAGTGGTGAAAAAATTGCAAATGATAAAAAAAAATCTGGACAGGGGCAAGATTGAAATAATTGGTGGTTAGTCCTCTCCTACAAAATTTGAAAATTTAGCCAGAGTTGTGACAAACTTTCACAAAATTATGATCATTTAAAATAAGAATTCATACAACTGAAAGGTTGTTCATGCAGTGATGGTTAGTTTTATCATTATGAGCCAATGCATTGTCTACTCTTAGGGCAAAGGAAACACCTTAGGTTTTAGATGCTGGAGAAGGAAGAAGAGCAAGAAAGAGAGGAGTCAACTATTGCATCATTCCTGTCAAAGGGGCATCCAAAATTTGAACAACTTTTGATTGCTGTACACATATTTAATTTGAAGATCTAGATTAATTTCTTTAGGTTCAGGCTTTGGAGATTTGGGGAGACAATAAGATCACACAGCAAAATATTTAGAACACTGGACCTTATATCAATTGATATAAATTGTTGAGCATCGTAAGCTATTTTTTTTTAGACCCATATCACAGTGTGCTTTTTTTTCATATGAATGAGGCCAAATATATTTTCATGTTTATAAGCCTTTGATGGTCATTTTCTGAGAATTTTCAATTTATATATTCTTTGCTCACCTTTCTATTTGGTTATTGATAGTTTTATAAATTCTTAGAGCTCTTTAAATGTTAAGAGGATTACACATTTGTGATCTGGTTTTCAAAAAGATATTTTTTCCTACTTTTGTTTATTGTTTGTTTATAATGTGGGTGTATTTTGTGTGTGTTTGTAATGTGGGTATGTTTTGTTTTTTTTGTTTTTTCAAATACAGTTGACATTCAATATTATATTACTTTCAGGTATACAGCATAATGGTTAGACATTTATATAGCTTACAAGTTGGTCCCCTAAGGGAATATTGCCCACCTGGCACCATACATAGTTGTTACAATATTATTAACTATGTTCCCTATGCTATACTTTACATTCCCATGACTATTTTGTAACTACCAACCTGTACTTCTTAATCCCTTCATGCCCCCCCCTCCTCTAAAGCCCCTCCCATCTGGCAGCCATCAGTCTATTCTCTGTATGAGTTTGTTTTGATTGTTCACTTATTTTGTTTTTTAGATTCCACATGTAAGTGAAATTATATGGTATTTGTCTTTCTCTGTCCAATTTATTTCACTTAGCATAATACCCTCTAGGTCTGTCTTTGTTGTTGCAAATGGTAAGATTTCATGCTGTTTTAAGGCTGAGTAATAGTCCATTATATATATGTACCACACCTTTAAATCATCTATTGATAGACACTTAGGTTGCTTCCATATCTTGGCTATTATATATGAAATGTCCTTCTCTGTCTCTTACTATACTTTCATTTTAAAGTCTGTTTAGTCTGATACAAGTATTGCTACCCCTGTATTTTTTGTTTTCATTTGCATGAAATATCTTTTTCCAGCCTTTTACTTTCAGTCTGTGTGTGTGTCTCGAATCTGAAATGGGTCTCTTGCAGTCATCATCATATATATGGGTCTTGTTTTTTTTCCATCCAGCCACCTTATTTTTTTTTATTGGAGTATTTAACCCATTTGCATTTAAAGTAATTATCTATAGGTATGTACTTATTGCCATTTTGTTCGTATTTTTGGTGTTTTTCTTCTTCTTCTTCTTAAAGATGTCCCTTTAGCATTTCTTGTAATACTGGTTTGGTGGTGATGAACTCTTTCTTTAGCTATTATCTAATTTCTTCAAACTTTGGAAGAACTTGGGTCTTTATATTGTAAGCCATACTGCCTTTTTTCTAGCTATTCTTGGCCAGTCACTAGCTTTTAGAAAAATGAATTTAGTAATGATGACAATTGCCCATTTTATTTTTCCAAACAGCTCATGCAGCATCCTGAATGAAGAATTAAAACAAATGATAGTTTCCTGAGGTTAATTTGTTATAAAGTTGATCTGCATATTAAATAAAATATTAGATTTAGATTATTTTATCCCCTCTCTGCTCCCATCACCACCAAGAAAGAAACTGTTTTGGAGGAGGGATGTGGGGGTGTGATGAAGAATGATATTGTGTCATGTAAATAACCATTATTCTGTACAAGAAGGTACACTAGAAATTACTTTTAGCTTACCTGCCTACTATCTAAAATCTTGTTAGATTAGCAGTTATGTGTGAAGAAAATTTATGTAATACAAGTCTATTAGTAAAGTTTTCCCATATGCCTTTATAAGTGAATGAGCCCATTATAAAGTGTCTGCCAATAGAAAGATCCCATTTCCAGTCATTGTCCCCCTATGAGAAAAAGAAATCTCTTCTGCAAATACTCCAGTTGGTTCACATAGGATTAAGATGAAAGTTTTGGCAGTGGCTTACACCTTAAAAATGCAAGTTCCTAAACTGTCTTTCTTCTTTATGGTTCTTAATGTTACAAGATGTCAGTTTACTGTTGCTTTTAAATGCAAATAAACCGAGCCCTGGCCAGTTTGGCTCAGCGGTTGGAGCGTCCACCTGCGGTCCAGAGAGACCCGGGTTCGGTTCCCGCTAAGGGCACATACCTTGGTTGCAGTTTGTCCCCAGCCCTGGTTGGTCGTGCGGGTGGCAGCCACTCGATGTGTCCCTTCACATCAATGTTTCTCTCTTTCTTCCTCTCTCTCCCTCCCGCTCTATCTGAACAAAAAATGGAAAAATGTCCTCGGGTGAGGATAAAAATAATAATAATAAATAAGTAAATAAATAAATGCAAATAAACCGATATTTGAATTTTTAATTAAGAGTTTATTTTCACTTTAGAAAAGTTTATCTAAAACAAACTAGTCCTCTTTAAAATAAAGTTCCCTAGCCCTGGCTGGTTTGGCTCAGCAGTTAGAGCGTCAGCCCGCTGACTTCGGTTCCCGCTAAGGGCATGTACCTCAGTTGCAGTTTGTCCCCGGCCCCAGTTGGGATTGCTAGGGTGGCAACCACTCGATGTGTCTCTCTCACATTGATGTTTCTCTCTCTCTCTCTCTTCCTCCCTTTGTCCCTCCCGCTCTATCTGAAGATAAATGAAAAAAAAAAAAAAAAATGTCCTCAGGTGAGGATTAAAAAAAATAAGATAAAATTAAATAAGGTTTGCCAGTAAATTGTGTCCATCTCAACATCCACCCTCCCCAGCTCCCAAGGAAAGTATATTCCCCTTCTCTCATTTCTTTGCCTCTATTTCCATTCTTCAGTTCCTAAATGTTACTAATAGTTTGGCATGGATTCTTTAGCTGGTGATCAAAGTTAAGAGGAGAGCAATCTGAGATTATACATAAGCTAGAGAAAGTTGTGTCTGATATGTTTGTTTGACTCGGGGTGCTTCTCCTTAGTGCCTTGTCTTTAAGGTGGGCCTGGGGGTCAAGACTATGACCCTCTGAGTGTGGGAGAATATCCAGTTAAGGACTCTTGAATCATGTATAATGACTAATTATCCAGACCAACTACCCTCTGTGTACATACTAGCATGACAGTGACACAAGGAGAGACAGATACTAATTGCAACAATGAATAGCAAGAAGAAGAGGAACAGTTTTTATTTATTGAGTCTTTTTTGTTTGTTTTTGTATCTGGTTCTGTGCCAGATTGCAGACAGTCATTACAAAGCTTAACCACCACCCCCTTCCAGCAGCCCTGGGAGGTAGACAGCACTGCCTGTCTGACAGGAGACATGGGTTATGTTAAGAACTTTGCCCAAGTTCACACAAACAGTAGGAGCTAAAGAAAGAACTCAAACCCAAGCCTATCTGATTTGAAAGTCTTGTTCTTGAACTGCTGTCCTGTATTGTATGTCATTTATATGGGGGGAGCGGAGTGTTATGTATGTGTACGTATGTGCATATGTGTGTAATCTCCACTCTGGACTGAGATAGGATTCTGATGTGGATCCTAACATGTTAAGTTACACAAGAGGGAAAAACAGCCACAATATGGGACAAGATTGGAGAGCTGCCAAGTCTGGCTTAGATCACTGTCTCTGTGCATATGTGGTGCACTATTCCCCTCTTAGTTCTTGCTTTTTCTCTGTATGTTGAAGGTTCAGTTATCCATGTAAATGGAGGGTAGCCAGATGTGAATAACTCTATAAAGAACCACTAATCTAAGGAGCATTTCCATGGCAGTTTGCTATTTATATGTGACTTATTTGGGGTAGATTCGTATCCCTTAATATGTTTGCTTAGTCATCCCAGAATTGTAATGGCTGGGCCTGTCCTAAGAGCCAGTATTGTCCATAGGAGAATATCAGACACTTAATTCCTAAGCAAAAACTTTTAAATTCATTTAAAAGCATATCTTGATCCCTGGCTGGTTTGGTTCAGCAGTTAGAGCATCAGCCCGCAGACCAATGATTCTCGGGTTCGATTCCAGTTAAGGGCACGTACCTCCATTGCAGTTCATCCCTGGCCCTGGCCGGATTGTGCAGGAGGCAACCAGTTGATGTGACTCTTATCACATCATTGTTTCTCTCAGTCTCTCTCTCTCTCCCTCCCTCCTACACTATCTAATGATATAGAAAAATATCCTCTGGTGAGGAATAAAAAATAAATAAAAGCATGGCTTGAGAGATACTGACATTTTTTCTTTTTTTCTCCCTGAATTTATTTAGAACTTATGCTATCAGGAGGATAAGAGATGCCTTCAGAGAAAATAAGAGTGCAAAAGATCCTGTAGAAATTCAGACTCTAGTGAGCAAAGCCAAAAGAGACCTGGGAATGATTCGCCGACAGGTAAGATAGTTCAGTGATGTACTATTTTTCATTAAGAGCTCAAAGCTTTGACACATCCCCTTGATTGGACATCACTGCTTTTGGTGGTTATAATTTACACAGAATCATGAGACTCTGTTTCTCTTACTTATATAGACATAGAAAGATGACCTATTATATTCTTGAATTCAAGGAGAACATAAAGGAAAAGATCAGCTTTCCAGAATTTCCAGGGAATGCATCGTTGGGGAGACTGAGGTTTCACATTTAACTAAAGGTTGATGCTTTAAGCATGAGAAACTTCAAAAAAAAATATATTGTTTCTTTGTAAGATATACTGCGCATTTATACATGGATATATGTCAAAGAGTATAAATGTATTCTACTTTTCTTAATGTTCAAGATAAGATTGTCTTGAAAACATGGTCATCGGTGATGAATCTAAATTTTGATGCCACATGGAAGGTGTATCTGCACGTGTAAATGGTGTGAACAGCTGCTTTGGGATTGACCCCGTAAAGGACTCTGGAAGGTGTTTTTGTTTTCATCTTGTAGAAGTGCCAGGGATCACCCTAATCTGTGCTTGCCTTTCTCTTTCTCGTGGGGTAAAGTAGGGCATCTGCCGCAGCATGGTCCCTGGGTGGTGATATGTCCACCTTTCTGTGAAAATCATTAGAAAGCCCAAGGCTAAAGTAACCTGCTATCAGTTGGTTTTCTCGCTCTCTAAAAAAATTATACTTTTCACTGTTTTCCTTGGATTTAGCAACATTCACACCATAAGCTTCATTTCTGCTTCTGTTCATTTTTCTTTCTTACTTGCAGTAAATTTGTTTATTCTCATGGAAAAGAAGCCCCTTGCCATTTTCCTAATTTTTGCTTGTGTTTTGGAAAGAGCTTCTTTAGCATCATGAGGAGAGGCCAGCTTGAGTGACTTTATATGATAATCATAATATATTAACATATATTCTTCGTGCTTGACTCTAAACAGAATTCAAAAGAAGAAGCAGTATTAAAAACTGTGGTTTTCATTTTATGTCAAAATTAAGTCTTGTTCTGTGTGTAGATAATGAAACAGTCCCTTCCAGAATAACGTTTCAGATTCTGATGACCCTCCTTGAGTTCTATAGTTATCTAGCAAAAGAATAACTTTGCCACATTCAGACAAGCCTAGGAAATGATCTTTGACTAAGGGGATGAAAAGGTAATAGGATAGTCATAAAAAGAAACTGATCTATGCATTTGCATATACTTTAATGTAGCAATAAATGAGTTGCATTTTGAAAACTCTAGAACGATGGCATTTTCCAGGCATCAGTGGTTGAAATTTATGGGACCTTTAGCACTGGAACTTGTCCTTATTTTACATAAACTCAGATTTAATTCTTTGGCACTTTCCCATGTAAAAGTTGGCAAATATCACCAACATGGGTTGGTTTCATCTTCTAGTGTAAGTTGCTCAGAGCAGAAAATGCTTAGAAAAGTGAAGGGTACCTGTAAGTAATATCTTCCACCTTTTCAGCTATGTCTTCATTTTGAACTGGTAAAACTACCCTCTCAAAAAAAAAAAAAAAAAAGACTAGATTGTATGTCATCAGACATCCCCAGTGAATCCACTTAAAGCAGACTCAAAACACTGGAGCCTCTGGACATGTGCCAAGGCCCGGTGCCCACCTCAGAAGAGCCTGGCCAGTGCCCAGGGTTTCCATATTAACTAGTAGAGCAGCAGGTGATTGATCATGTGATTCCTGAAGGCCCTGCTCAGAGAGGGCCTGACAAGTGAAAGCATTCTCATTCCATCAGAGAACTAGTAGCCACTTACACGCCAACAACTGGGAGGTTTCTGTTCACTTCCTTTTCACATCAAGATTTTTCCTGAATTCAGGAATGACATTTTCCATAGTTATCTTATGAGATGTAGTGGACTCCTGGAGCCACTTCACTTCTAAGCTGGAATAAGCTGACGTGGAAAAAAGGCCTAAAGTAAAGTAGCATCTGTATTTCCTTCTCACTGGCCACCGTGATAGCCTTCTAACTTGCCCCCCTGATTGCGCCCCTCCCAAAATGTTCTGTTCTTCACACACTGACCATATGTTCTTTTAGAAAATCAAAGCAGGTTATACCCCTGGTCACAACCCTCCAAGGGCTTTGTAGCACCCTGACAATGAAATCTGAGGTCCTTATGAAATCCTGAAAGGCCCTCCATTGCTCTTATCTCCCTCCTGCTATGTCAGTACCTTCCTCATGTCCCTGGTGCATCTTCCACTTGTTCCCATCTCAGAACCTTTGCACCTTCTGCCTGGAGTAGTCTCTCCCCAAACCTTCCAATAGCTCGATTCCCCTTTTCACTCGGACGTTTACTCAGACTTCAGCTATTGCAGTATCTAAAATAGCCTCCTTCCCTCTGTCACTGTCACCTTACCTGGCTTTAGTTTTTATTACAGCACTTATCAAACCGATAATAACATTACTGTTGCCTTGTCTGTTTTCTCCTTTTCTGTGAGGACAGGGATGTCATCCGTCATGGTCACTGCTACCTGGTACACAAGAGGATGGGCTCTTGGAGCCAGCCTGCCTGTGTTCAAATCTTCACTCAACCTACTCTGTATGACCTTGAACCAGATGTGTGACCTCTCAGTGCCTAATGTAAAGTGCAGATGACAACAGGCCCAACTTCATGAGTTTTAGAGAGGATCAAGTAGGTTAACCATGTAAAACTCTTAAAAGGATGCTGGCACATAGCAAATATTTGCTGTTGTTATCCAGAGTTTCTACAGCAGTCCACAGAGCTAATCTTAATATTTATTTGTGGACTAAATGAATACATGAAAAGTTTGGTCCCTGAGATCATATACCGCAGCCAAGGGGTCTGGCCCACCACAATCATGGTATCTTGCTGACCTCCCAAAACCTCTCTTCAGAGAGAATGAGCCTTGAAAGGAAAGAGGAAATCTAATGAGGGTCTGAGACAGTACCTTCCTGAGCTGTACTGTCCTTCACATCAAGTCCCTCTTTCACTTGAGCACTTGGACCCAGAGGCCATCACCATGATGCACATGGATCTCAGCATCACTTTTCCACAGATGGGAAGCTCACAGGGTAGTACTCACACTGAAGTCCTCCACTGGACTTTCTCTCGCAATACTGTCCCTACCTTTCTGCTTCTCCTCAGTCTTTGAAGTATATCTTTTTTCTAGTGCTTCAATCACTTCAGTCAGCTGTGATGCTAATGAGACAACTGTAAACATGGTAAGGTTTTGCAGTTTTTAAAAAAGACTGCAAAAATTTTCTTCTTTCTGGGGGGGTAGAGAAACCAAGGTGCAAGAAAGCTGGATGCCTTCTCCATGGCCACATGACCAGATTCGAGTTCAGTTCTACTTCCTCAGAGCAAACTCAGAAGTTCAAGGACGTGAGCACCTGAGTCAGTAGAAACTAATGGCTAAAGATAATTTTTTTTTCCATACAGGGAATTTTATCTATTGTACAAAGAGAGGGTTATCTGGCCCCCAAGCAGGTTCTGGGTTCTGTGAAGACTGTCCATTTACAATTCTAGCTCCAGTTCTTAGACATGAAGCCATCCAAAGGCCTATGATCGTGAGCATTGATGAGGCTACACACCCTTTGGCTCCAGTTAAATCCCTGGTGTTTGACGTGAGTGGGAACTGTGGATGCTTGCTTTCTGGTTCTGTCGCAGCCCCAGAAGAAGCTGGTTTAGAAGTGTAAGGTTGCTGTCTCTGCGAGGCAGGGGCAGGGGTGGGAGGCAGTTCCCTTCATACTCGATCACTGCCATCTTAGCCCAATTCTGCTTATTCTGATTTTGGATCTGCAGCATTCATGTGTAGCCCCCATTCTGACCTTGTTTCAGAGGGGCCAGTACTTGAAACAGCTTTGGGATCAAGTCTTTCTCTGTGAACCAGAAGTCAGCCATGCGCATGGCTGGTGTCGCCCAGCTTCCCATAGTCAATGAGCTTCTCAGCATAGCCCCTCATCTCGTCCAAGCACACCCATGACGCCTTGATGCGTTCTTGTCGCACTAGTCCCATAAGCAAGTTCCGCAACAGGTGGATGCAGCACTCGGGACCAAGGCCCAGCGGCGGAATACGCGGCCATGGGAGATGGCGGCAACAACCGACAGCCGCATGTTCCCGGCTCCTCCGGGACCCGGGAGGCCGGAACTCCGGTAAAGATAATCTAAAGATAATCTTAAGTCATGCCCCAGGTTTGTTCTTAAGATATTTAAGGACTACATCAACCTGGCTCCGCCTCATCAGAGGCATTCTTCCTGTATATCCTTAATGCACAGAGATACTTAGTCTTCACTGTGGTGAACCTGAAGGGTTCTGGAGAGCATCGGCATTTCTTATTGGCCTTTCACACTATCCTGAGGATTACTCTGATTTGAAGAAGTAAAATGGCAGATTGCTTTTCCTCCATTATGAATAAATCAGACTCCTTTTGCTCCTTAATTATGACCCATTGAATAGAAGCCTGACATAAACATGTTTTTTCTTTGACATTTTTGGACCAACTTTCTCCCTGAAAATTATAATTCAGTCTGGAAATCTCGGTTTTCTTTCCAGCTATATGCATTATCTTATATCTTGTAACTAGCAGAGACATTCTTCCACCTTTTTATAAACTCCCATTGTATCCATACAAGATGGTTCTATAGAGACAGATTGACTCAGGCAGCTTGTGTGAGTTCTTCCTCTATGCTGAAAGCAAGTTCTGGACTAGCCCCCACTAAACTGAGCTTTCCCGTCTGCTTCCCAAGTGGGATCAGAAAAATTGGAGAGGACTTTTGTGTGTGTGCCTGATGGTGTGAGAAAGGATACACAGAAGTGGGGCTGTGTGTAGGGTTGGGCAGAAGCTCCCACATAATCTGGGCAGCCAAGAAGTCCCTAAGGACTGTCTACCTCACATAATAAGCAAGGCTTCTTGGGTATTTCATATCAGAACAAGAAACAAGAAAGTCAACCAGACACTGCTTTCATCCTTGTTCTTTTTTTCATCTTGCTATTCTG